AAAAGGGGAATTTCTCTACACCAGACCAGAGCAGTTTTAGACAGCAGTAGCAGCAAACTTTAGGGTATAATGTGTAACTTGCATCCGACAGTGAAATTTCTATCAGATGTGAGAAAAATGATTTAAGTGTCTTTTCTTTTTTTTCAGGTATGCACTTCTTGTTGTGAAGGAAACATCTGCAACTTGACATTACCTAGGAATTCAAGCGATGCCATATTTTCAACAACAACACCTATAAATCATACGCAGAGACATTGGCAAGATGCATCTGTAATAATGTTAGGTCTCCTGTCTCTCTTTGCTACGTAGTCCTTTTTGGATAAATTACCAACTAAACATCAAGGAAATCCAATGGGATGAAAATATTTATGCACACAAATATGACCTTAATTTAATATATGTTTTTCAATGCTTTCTTCTTCTTTTAGTGACATTTTAAAATGATCCTTTGAATTCCTTTTAGCCTTGGCTGACTCAAAAGCCATACTTTCTGGATCTGTGTCTTTAAAAAAAGGAGGGACTTTTGTTATGTTGAATGTTCTGAAGGAAAATTTTTGTATAGCCATTAAAAATGGATGTTTTTTTTAAAAACTATTCTTTAGTCTAGTGAAAGGAGTATTTCTAGAAATTGCATACTTTGAATTATACCAATTGAAAACCAGGGTTTCAAAATAACACTATTCTGCTATGCAAGAAAGGATTCTAGATGATTGTCTTACAGCATCAAATCAATCTTAGCTTGATCATTCGATTGGATTAGATCTTGATTTAGTAGTCTATATATATTGCTAGACGAGTGGTGCGATGGCCTAGAGGTAGTGGAGCTCTTGCCTCACAATCAGAAGGCTGTGAGTTTGATCCTAAGTAGAGGCAGATATTTCTCTCTCTGGGCACAATGAGAATATATCTGCTTAACAAAACTCCGCATTGGCGACAGGAAAGGCATCCGGCCAGTAAACACTTAGTTCCATTCAGTTGCCTAGACTCCACCCCGCAAGGGATTATGGGGTTGTTAAAAGGAGATGATATTAGTATATCGCTAGACATAGCGAAATCACAGGTGAAGTCTCCATGATATTAATAGGACCTATGCTATGACTAGATTTAATCCCTATCTTTTAACTATAGGAGATCAATACCCATTGGAGAAAAATCACGGTCGTGAGTTTTAAGCAGGCATGTGGTTATCCCCCTGAATGTACAAAAGATGACAAATGATTTTTCTAAAATGTACTCTAATCTGATTTTTTAAAAAAAAGAAAACTCAAATGCCTAAGGAGATTTCAAATAGTCTATTCAAATAGTCAGGCCGATTATTTAAAAGTTTTATTTTTTTATTTAATCTAACCAATTAATATAATAATAAGTCTGTAATTCTGTGCCCGGTTGCTGAGAGTAAAGCCCACTGCACTCATTCTGTGAGATTGCCAAATTATTCATATGTACTTGGAGTAAATACTATGGGAATCCCTGTCATTTACTGTTGAACAAAAACATGCCTAGGAGAGTGCTGCGCATGGGGCCAGCCCTATGTCTGATGCGCTTACCCAAGCTTGCCTTTAATTATTTGCTCTGCATGCATGCCATCTTCGTTTCCTTTGCGAATATATCTGCTTGTGCATGAGAACCTTGTGGGAGATGTCTGGGCTATAATAAAAATAGGCACATTTCAATAAGAGGTTCCTGCAACAACTGTAATAAGGATTTCAACTTGATCAAAGCTTTTGGTACAGAGATTTATTGTGGATGAATGAGTGGTGTGGTGGCCTAGAGGTGGAGCTCTTGCCTCACAACCAGGAGGCTGTGAATTCGATCCTTGTTAGCGGCAGATAACTAGGGCACAATGAGAGTATATTTGCTGCGAACTCAGCATTGGTGACAGGAAGGGCATCTGGCCAGTAAACACTTGGCTCCATTCAGTTGCCCCGACTTCACCCTGACGCAAGGGATTACAGGGTCATTAAAAGACAAAAAATATTGTTGTGGATGAATGGCTTGCATTGAAGAAGAACTATTTCAAATTCCACACTCCATTTGTGCCATCCAACATGGTTTATTTTACATAGTAGGTTGCAATATTTGTATTTGTATAATATAGGGGTGTTAAACTGGCAGCCTGCAGGCCAGATGCATCACGCACAGGCCACGCCCACCCCAGCTCCGCGAATGGAGAAAACATTGCGAAACCTCACGCGATGGCAAAGTGATGCGGTGAGTTTGAGACACATACCCAAGCCGATTTTTAATGAACTTTTTTGTGGTGATAACTAAGTGAATCACCATGGTTATTAAGCAAATCTGCAATTGTCAAGCAATCACGGTAGTTGTTAAGCAAACCCATTATTTGTTACGGGGCATTTTCGTCAAAAACCAGATGTAAACTGGAAGTCAACCCCGGTTTTCAGCAAAAACTTAATTTGTGGTCATGTGACCGTGAGGTGCTGGAAACAACTCTCAAAGCTGACTGGTTGCTAAGCACCTGAAATGTAGTCACATGACTATGGGGAGGGGCAGCCATTTTTGAAATCGGGTCGTAAGTATCTTTTGGGGAAATCTGTCATCACTTTGAATGGTCTTTAAGCAACCAGTCTTAAGTCAAGGACGACATGTATGAGCAGTGCTGCTGTTGCTGTTTCTTCTCATGACTGGTCCGCTTTCCGATCAGCACAGATCTGTGTTGCAAAGTGGAGGAAGGGGGAAGAAAAGAAAGGAAAAGAAACTAGCATTACATGGTCTGGACAGACTTTTGTTTTTAAAAACAACAATCAATCATCCATTAAATCCTTAAAGTTATGTAGAACAGCCGTTTTGTGTTAATGTGAATGAAATGATTATTGAAGCTTCACGGATTACTGTCTGGTCTTTATTAAAGCAAACCAGTGGCGTGGCCACTTTAAGAAATCCACCCATTAAGGTCTGATAAAATAAAAGGATTTCCAAATGAGAGGAGAATGGTTTTTCAAACCAGTCTGAGAACAGCCCAGTTTGATGGGATAAGGACTATCTAAAACCAGCTCTTAGTTTCTCAAGGATACTATAGATGCCTCAAAAATAGGTGATGGAGATAGACCCCTCTCACCTGTTACTGTTTTTTTAAAAAAAAATTATTTATTTATTCAGCTAAAAATTTAATTCCATAAAATGGGGAACACCTTTTGAAGACCCAAATCTACTGTAGGGTTAAGCAGTCATTGAAATTAAATGCTCTGTCCCCATTTGGACTCATTTCTTCCCCTGCATTCCTGTCCAAGGGAGTTGGCTTCTTCTGTATGATTCTTCGCACTCATCATTTTGCAGGCTCAAGTGTATTGATAGCCTCTTGGAAAGGCGTATTACTTTTAACAGTGATGACAAAGACATAGTAAATATTGAATGACTGTACTCTCATCACATTAAACCTATTAGAATTCTTTCTTGAGATCTGACATACAGGCTAATTGTAGAATAATCTCAGGTTGCAAAGGGAAGCAAAATTGGAACAGTCCATGTAACATTGTAGGATATTCAGAATAAACAATAGACATTTGGCTGAAAAGAAGTCATGTTTATCTACTGAAAGTTGTCGCATCGGTCCTGTTTCCAACCTGCCCCTCAATTTACCAAAGGAATTATAAGTATATGACCACTACTCTATGTGCCAAAAGTGAAAAATATGTTCAATATCTGTTTAAATCATGCTAACTCCGAAATCTAGATATTGTAGTTCTCCCTTCTCATTTACTGAAGAAAGAGGTTTGTTGGAGGAAGTTATAGACAGCATACCGTTCCCACCATGCTGCTGTGACTTCTCATGTAGTGGGTTCAGATTGTAGTGAGAGGTCTATGGAGATGCTCAGTCATCCAGGTCATGGTTGTCAAAAAGGCACTTTTTCAAAGGCAACCGGACTTTTATTTTTTTTTCCTGGAAGATGTTTCGCTTCTCATCCAAGAAACTTCCTCAGAACTGAAGAAGCTTCTTGGAGGAGAAGCAAAACATCTTCAAGCAAAAGCAAAGGAAGTCCAGTTGCCTATTGAAGAAGCGCCTTTGGGACAGCCATGACCTGGATGACTGAGGAGTTCCATAGGCATCTTCAAGGGGAAAAACAAAGAAAGCCCAGTTGCCTTTTGAAAAAGCACCCTTGGGATTGTGTGAGATGTTTCCATAACTGCAACATCCATTTTTGGAGAGATGGCTGGCGTTGTAGCGGGGAAAAACAATACATTGTGACTACCTCTGCTACAAGTTGTACAGAAAGACGACGTTGTGTGGTCAAGATGACTGACTTTAAGTAGTACATATGTGAAGATCTGCCCTAAGTAGAATTCTTTGCGGTAATTGTTCGTCATAAAACAACAAGCTGTGTTTAGTGTAGTACAATCAGGCTTCCATTTGTGCGGTGGAATTAAACTTCATTCATCTTCCCCCTTGCACATACCTCCAAGCCTGCTCCGAGGAGAGGGCGTGTCCCAACCTCTGGAGCAGATTTGATGGATGCACACCCGTGGAGGAAGTGTCCATCCTGTTTGGGACCCCATTGGATGCAGTCCTTTGTATTGTATATCTTGTGAATGCTCTGAAAGGTGGTGGGTATTTCTTGCATGATAACATTCATTTACTGACATATTTGGGTGACTTGAGACATTGGTTTGGATGGACGCTTCTTGTTTAGAGGTGAACACGAGAGGATTATCCTATCTGTAAAATCTGCAGCTATCTATGAACGTAGCAAATGTCGCCCAGGCTTGTTACTCATTTCAATTCCAACATACGGTACTGTACTTCTTAATCTTAATTTGGTTTTTTTTTTTACAGTTCAAGCGTGATGATGTCGTAACTTATAAACCAAGCGTTTGTGTTCCATTTTGAATTTAGATGTTTAGGATGGAAGAAAATAAGAATATTTCTCCCTTCTCCATTCCATTTAATTATCAAGGGGAGAATACCATAAGGGCATGATAGATAACCTGAAGCCAAATGTGTGCCAAATTTCCTGGTTATTCTGCTATCTTTGTCTTTGAGTTTGGTTTGGTTCCTTTCTGTTCGTTTGTTTGTTGGTATTCTTGTGAATGTCTCCTGTGTAAATAGCAATCCCTGCTTGTTAATGTTGTTGTAAATTTTGTACATTCTATAAATGACTTAAAATTTTCATGGTTTGATTTTTTTTTCTTTATTAAAACCACGTTATAACACATCACAAAGGAAGCTAAGGATTACTTCAGAGATGTAAATTAGTTTGAAAGACAAATACACAAGAAAAGGAAAAATCGATGTACGTAATTTGATTATGAGAATGAGTAAGCTGTCTAATATACTCCGCTACAGGCAAAGCTAACTGGTGGGCAAGGGCATTTGGGATGTGGGTGGTGGTTTCAGTGGCCTTTAAATGTGAAGGGGAATATAAAAGTGTGGTCTAATATTTGAAATCATCAGACTGAGTTATTCTTCTCCTTAGTGACAGTTAATCTAATCAGAGTACCAATTAAATAAATAACTTATGCTGCCTGACCCTTGGGGACTCTGGTTTCTGCTTTCAATCCGCAAAAAGCAAAAGGGAAAATCATAATTTCAATGCAGAATATTGTGGGAGGGGAAAACAAAGGGACTCTAATGATTTAGCTGCTTTTAGTTAAAAATGGGAGG